ACAGATCCTGATCAGCACCCACTTATGAAACCTTTGGGCACATTTTCAAAGTGGTATATGGGGGAATTTTGCTAAACCACTTTTCCTGACGTAAGTGGGAATCCAACAGTGAAATCTCTATGGGCTGACTTGAAAAAACATACTGTACATAGTCTATTCTCCTTAGTCCCCTTTAATATAAGTTTAATACAGAGCCAAATACTGAAGCTCCTTAGAAAGGGAACCTTCAGAATCCACACAAAAGAAAGTAAAAGCAAAATACCATGATTAGTTCACTTAAGAAAACAACATTGGCATTCTCAGTAGAGAGGTCAAGGAACGAAACAGCATGGATACTCAGGAATAAGCTTGTGTTAAGTGGACCCTCCAAGTCACGGTTGAGGCATATTGGCAAGGCAGTATAGGCAATATACAAACCATGCTGTCCCTGTTAACTCCTGAGAGCTGTCAATCTGGCACATTTCTGAAGCACAATATTTACACACAAGCTTCTTAAAACAAAACCACTATAAGATATTATTATTATAACTGCTGTATATAGCAGGAGAGTAGAAGTCCAAATGCTGCCAACATTACTATCTGGGCAGGACATGTGAGAGAAAGTCTGACCACTTTAGGGAGAGTGCAAACTAAAATATAGAGCAAAACATTCCCCACAATCTCTCTCTCTCTCTCCCCCCATCTCCCACAGCAAGATGGTCAAGATTTTCAGAAATGGGTGCCTAAATTTAGGCTTCTACATTCATATTTAAGCACTTTGGGTTTCTAAGACTTCATGATTGATACTGTGATATTAACTATACCTATATGGAACTTCCCAGAAGCATAAGAGATTGAACAAGATCTGCCTGCTTCCAGAGCCCATGGTTGATACCTTCAAAAACAAGTTGGGGGTTTAGCCATGTAACTCCCAATAATTTCAATGAGAATTGTGTGGCTAAGTCCCCTAGTTGGCTTTGAAAATCTCGACACAAGTCCCCACCAACTGAGTTAAAGGATAATCTCTTTTGGCTGATATTAGTATAGGACAGTGACTGGGTATATCTGGTCTTTGAGGCTACTTACAGGACACCCCAGGGTCCTAGTACATCCTGCAAAGCAGCAAAGTCTGCAGTAACAAGTATGTGATTGCTGTGCCTAGGGTCCCTAGATTGGAACCCGGATTAGTGGGCGGGCCTAGATTCCCCTTCTGGCTATGGGTAAAGTGGTGTAATCACAAGAAGAGGACAGGCCTTAGTTATGAGTCAGAACAAAGGTCTGAATTTAAAGGGAAGAAAGCTGGTGCTGAAGACCCTACGGAGAGGAAACAGACTGCTTATTTGTTGGACTCTTTAATACCCTGCAAGGGGTTCAGTTGTTCTTTGTGACTCAGTCGGATGGCCAGCCATGGAAGACCTGCCAAGTCAGCTGGCAGCCTGCAGGGGACACTAGAGATGAAAAAAGGACTACAATACTTGACCCTGTTACTTGGAGGCACTCCAGAGGTGAGTGCCCCATTACAAGGACCTATGGAACTATTTAGCACTTCTGACACCAACTAGGAGAGGGCAGTGGCTCACCTGGTCATTAGCCAGTTCATTACAATACAAAATAAAAATAGCTAATGAAGCAAAGTAATGAAAACTTGTCTTATTAAATGCATAGAGGCTTTTTCCCATTAACCTTTAAAGACCAGACATTAAAATGGATCAGCCTAAGAAACCAAACCAGTTCCAGGGCACTAGACATCTTTCAATACAACATTAAAAGATTAAGCAGGTTCAGTTCATGTGGTCCAGTTCATGGCAGAACATCCTTAAGTACTTCATACTGTAAAAAAGATTAGTGAGGGTCACAAGGAAATAATTCCATAAGAGTTTTGATGACACCATAAATCACAAGAGTGCCATTCTATTCAACTACATTACAGCTGATTCAAACTATTAACACAAATTCTATTAAAATAAAATTGAAGATGTCAGTCACTCAGTCACTATATTAGTTAAGGTTATTGAGGGCCAGTTTTACAAATTTAGGTACTTGCATTGTACTCAAATTTCCATGCATATGCAAAAATTCCCGATGTACACAAATTCCTGTACTGAGTGTAGACTGGAAATCTGTGAATAAATTGGGTGCATGCAGGAGGTAAATGTATGCATGCAGTTATGCACACCTAACTTTAAAAAGCTGGTCTTTAAACAGAATTACTTCACTGTGTATTCAAATATTATTAATACTAATGTTATATTAAAAGAGTCTCATTTTCTGATCACAGCATGATTAAACTTTTTAGATCATGTCTCAAATACAATTATTGAAATCAGCCATGAGGTACATTATAATACAACCCCATCCCTTCTGAGACATACATTTTTCTATGCCAAATTATTATTTTTGTTGCAAATAGAAACCTTAAAGTTTAAAATGAAAGTGCTGATAGAACCATAACAGCAGTGTAACAACTGTAACAGCAGGATACAATATGACCATTGTTTCTTAACACATGATGGAGTCCAGATACACTATATTCACATGATTCTTGCAGTTTTCAACATTTTGGGATAGTACATTAAGTATTTTGCTTATATCACAGCCTAAACACCAAGGGATCCCCTGGACCTAACTTCATTCCTATAATTCTTTACTAATCTTCCTCCACAAGTTATCTTTAATCCACATGTGCACACACATTTCTTCATACTACTATAAAATGACTGCAGCATTAATCCCTCAGTTCATTTTCAAAGTCAAGCGGCTTTAGAGGAACCATTAATTATCATTTACACAACAAGCATCACAATAGCGTGGGTATTTTTATGAAAGCTTCCAACTCTGACGCAGTTTCAGCTCATGATGTACTTTTAAAAAACTGCTTTGACATCACTTCGGAGGATGGTTTGGTTTTGTTAGAATCTCAAACAGTTAAAGGATGCAGTGAGTCATCTGGGGACTTCTGGAAAACTGAATAGTTCCAGGTGACTATTTGGAACACACACTCAAGAAACATAAAAACACTAAGACCATTGCTATGTTAAAGAGAACAGTATGGCCCCTTTCAGCATTAGAATTGAACATGCAGGCTTTCTCATTATTTCAATAAAACAAAAACAGACATTTAACCAAAAAACAAAACAAAAAAATCCCTAACCTTTCTCTGGCTTGGTTGAATATTTTAAAGAGCCTAGGCACTACACAAATTCTCCAGTGAGCCATGAATTCCATTTCATTTTGCTTTTTCAACAGAAATAGGTTGAAAGAAGATACATTAACCAGAAAAAGAACTTTTTAAAATCCCAAGTAATATGGTGACTAGTTTCTAGGTGAAAGAAGGATAAAATACTCATCATCCTATGCAAACAATGGGGATATTTTCTCTTCTTTAGGTAATTTATAGCAGTATGTAAAGCTGGGATAAAACAGATATTTTCTAAACTCACACTGACCATTTTGTTGCATGCAATATTATTGACATTATTTTGCTGGTTCTAAAGTAGTGTTATAAACTTAATGGAACACGGAAATTTAAATTTTTGCTTTTGCAATTGTTCCTCTAATACTCTAACCGCTATGAAAATAGTAATATTGTAATTAAAAAAAATGCTTTACATCCAGATTGCTGTTTGTCTTTGGTCTGAGGAAGAGTGGAAAGAAAGAATCAGGCTCAGAACCATTTGTGGGAGAAGAAAATACTGTTTAGATGGTGTAATTTATATTCTTGTACCAAAGGCCCTATGCCAAACCACTACCCTCTCCTCAGACATTTGCCTCCTTAAGACTCATTCTTCTATGACGCTCACAAAAAGTGAGTCAACAATTATATTTATTTTTATTAATTAAAAAAACCCAAGACATTGGTCCATCATGACACGCACATGCCCTAACTAAATGCCATCCTTCTATCTCCAGTAAAACAATAATATTTTTTTTAAAGTAATTGCCTTTTTATGTGCTTATAGCCAAGGGAAACACCTTAAGATGTGAGTGTACAAAGAGTCCTTTGGAAAACTTCCTCACCAGAAGAAAGTATGGAAATAATTGAATTAGCTTCACTAGGAAGGGTTTGAACTCTATATAAGTGCAGATGGACAGAAACTGCCCTTCTCCTGAAAATGACATTATCTATCACATGCTTAAACTGTATTTAGTGTACAAGCTATGTTAACCAAATACAGTATTTGTGAATTCAGCCGTTTCCTAATCTCCTTTGGCAAGAGCTGAATTCTTGAACACTCCTCCTTCCCCATGGTGATTTAAATGCTTTTTCATAGAAAGCTCCAACATATGAAAATATAAGCATTCTGCTTTTGTTCTTATAAACCAATGTCCCAGTTCAGCAAGGTTGTTAAGACTTCAGTGGAACTAGTCACATGCTTCAAGTTAGTTCCCTGCTGAATTAACTTGCTAAACAGAGGTCCAAGTTTGATTCCATTAACACTGTAATGATAAAAATCATTACAATGGTTCATTAAAAATAAGCATGTTCTATATAATGTGAAACACTGAGATTTACTTTGAAAGGTTAAGCTCTTAATCTTGTGTGGTGCTATATAGCTGGAGACAGAACTAATTAATGTTCTTTTCACCTGAAGAGAGGATTACTTTCCTATTTTGAAGGACTAAATGAGAGAGAATTTGAAACCTACTTTCTGGCCCTTGCCACTAATCATATCTGAATGAACCTTCTTCCAATATTAACTGTTTATCCTGTTTTAGTTAAGTCAGTAGTTTGAGCTTCCATAGGAAGGATGTCATCTCCTGGATTATATTACAAATGAAGTCCTCCACATTCATTTTCATTTCCAACATTTGAGTCCTATCAGTATATTAAGTTACCTGTGCATTGAGGTGGCCTGAAATCAAGGTATTTATATTTGTGAAGTGAAGGACAAAAGCAAATGAGCACAAGAATTCTGATGCTGAAAGTAAAACTCCCCTGTCCTAGTCCACACCTAAGAATGATACATTTAAAGTTATAATGTGAGAACTGGACACTTGCACATATAATTCATTTCACTAACCTGTTTGCCTGGGAAGAAAAGCAGTTCTATGTACTGAGGAGCTGAAATCTTGTGTATCTTTCACATTAACACAGGCAGATGGCCTCTGACCTTCTTCCAAGCTTATAGAAAGGGAACTCTCCGAGACTGCAAGACCACTAAATCCAGTGCTGAGCTGAAAAAGGGCATCCTGTGTTTTCTTTTTTTCTTTCTTTAACATACTTACTAGAATATCTGCAGAACATTTTAAGGAAATTAACTGGGATCTCCTTTCCATAAATAATAATCCACTCTTTCTTTAGGCCACTTGCTCATACATGTAGTCTTGTAGAACTGAATGGAACTAGTCACATATGGAAGGCCTATTCATGTGAAAATGGATTGCAGGGTTAGGCCCATATGTTATGTCTATGTATTCACATTTATCTTTCCAAATAACCAATTCAATTTGTCCTGAGCACTAGTAAGATGACATTAGTGAGTGGTATAAAAGGCTATGGCCAATCCATGTTTGGATAAAAGCAATAAATACTGTGAGGTTCTGTACAAAACCAGAAATGTTGAATTCCAGTTACTCTTTCAAAATGGGTGACATTACCTTTATTAAGTTTGGTAACATTACAACACCAATTAGACCCTGCAAATTTTCCAAGTCAAATTTAAATCGTATAAGTCAGAAATCTTAAACTTTATAGGAAGACTGTCAAGCACACCACAATAGAAAGGATTATAAAAACACAAAACAAGGTTTTAAAGAAATTCCTGCCAATTACATACATATTCTTTAGAAAGACCTTTGACATAAAAACACTTTAAATGAAGGAATACAGGGGTTTTCTGATGGAATTCACTACACATTTAGCAAAACCGAAGAGGTAACATAAAGATGATGAGATACTCTCTGTATGTTTTTCATTTTGTGTCTAATTTATCTGATAACGACATGGAAAAAATGTGGGCAAGGTGTGAGGAATTAGAATTATCAAGTTGATTAGGTGGCAAAAACTATTTGTCTTACAAATTGGTTCTTATCATATCTCTCATAGCGTGCATAAAGACAAGGAGCATCTCTTACAGTTTATGGCAGGAGAGCCTCCAAGTCCTCAGTAGTTTTATTGCACCAATCATGATGTTAATTTTTAAAAGTAAATTGTAAAATTATTTAGGCTGCAAAATCCACTTACAGTTACTTGCATGCTAGTTCTGATTTTAACTTTTAATATTTCAATTCCCCATATACAGCTCTAATTAAAATTGATGGATGCAATGAATGCCTTCCTTTCACTTCCATAAACAAAGCCACATATGCATATCTGGTGCGAGTGCATCGGACTCTATGAACTGTGTATTTTGTTGTTTTATTACAAATATTCTATCAACTTAATGATTTATTTCAAGAAGACTCTCTTCTGAGGGATCCAAAGGTTGAGCTAAAATAAGAAACTTTTAAAAGGTGTTATATGTCAATTTTATAGCCAAATTAACTAAACAGTGTTCCTTTCAAAATAAACGCCTTGGCTCCTGTTATGGATGCAGCAGACTAAAAGGCTTCCCTACCACTTGATTTCATCAGGGTAAAGCAAGCTACCAGTCTGAAGTACAACCCATTCACACTTAATATACCAAATCTGTGAATAATTGTTGAACACAAAGAATGCAGTTAATCTTGTTTTTAATAATGCTAAAGAATCTCTGCTCTCTATAAACTTGAAAGCTATTTGTCAATTTTCTGCCATTGTTCAAGTTTTGTCCACAGATCATCCACAAACTCAGGGACATGGTGACGCTGTGGTCTGCCTGCAGTTTTGTCAGCCAGCTAAAAATAACTGCCCTTTCTTCATCTTGCTCAACTACAGCTACTCATATGTTTCCCATGAGGCAGTAAAATGGACACAGCACATATGAGTAGTTTAATTTTTGTTATACATACACAATATAAAGGCTCAGCTTTAATTTAAATTTTAAAGTTGGATGTCGAAAGCACACATTTTACATTTAATCTAAAAGAAGAGAGTCCAGTAGTCCCTGAAGCAGCATTTCATTTGGCTAAAAATAACAACACAGGAAATTCTATTCTTTGTGAGGTAATAATCTGTTCTTTATATAGCATCACAGTTTTCTATGCTAGATCCAGTTTTTCCGTTTGCTGGAAGAGAGTTTACTAAACATGAGCCTGAACCACAACTTTTGGATCTGGATCAGAATTTCCCAAAACTCCAGGGTATTTGGATCCAGGATTTTGGTTCAGTTTATTACAGAAACAGGGACCAAGTGCAACAATGGGATTCTGATGAAGAGTGGTAGGAGACTCTTAGATTAAGAATATGGATTGATACATCAGTCTGAAAGGGAAGAAATTCTTTGCAGATCACCATCTCCCATTTCATACACACCCACACCTCAGATTGCAGCCAGATTAGTTAAAATCCAGATAAATCCTGTTTCATAAAGGATATTGATTTCATTATCTCTTTGGTGCAGAAGGTCTCTCAACTTCTTTAGCTCCTCTTTCTTCTCTGGGATATTAGTATCCTCATCTCCAGTGATGTCTGGTGAGAGCAGACTTCTGTCAGGAATGTTTGTACGATTTATCAGTTGCTATGAAATAAAATAGAAATAGTTCTGGGCCCTTGTCACTCTTTCCTCATCCCATTCATTTCCCCCTATCCCTGTGTGACTATTTACCTATGCTAGCTGATTTGAGAGCCTCTTCAGGATTTCTGAAAAGCAAAATCCCACCACTGGTAGACTGCAAAGCAATAAATACTGAGTCAGCTATGAGATATCTCCTAATTTCCACTGATCAGTTTTCCTCAGTAAAAATATCTAAGCCCTACACATCTCTCTCTGGTAAAGAACTCCCACTGTAGTAAGGAAAAAGCAGCATCAACTGGGTACTAATTCCTCCTCATCTAGAAATCAAATTCAGGGACAATGTTTTACACTTTACTGTATTAGAAAATTGCGGAAGCCTTTATAGCAGAGCATAAACAAAAACAAAAATATACCCCAGGTTCAATTTCTTCCCTTGCTACTCCTCACCCCATATATATCTTGTGTGCATAATATCCCAGCATAGCATATAACCAACACAGTTGATGCAGCTGGTTCAGTGACACAAACCCTCTTTTCTGACTTCTCCCTAGTCTAATGTAAAGCTCCTTACTAGCTGCATATATACCTGGATATACTCTCTATCCATTTACAGATTACTTCAGCACAGCAATTCCTGTAAATTTCAGTCCTCTCTATCACTCCCTCCACCTCTAATACCCTTTGGTCATTCTTTTTAGCTCCTTCAGATTCTTGCTGTATATTTTCCGGTTATTATTCAAATCCATTCCAGTTCTTCAAGCATTTCTCAGACCTGCTGAGGCCCTGTATACACTCCCTTCTTCTCCACAGCTTCATGGTTGCTTTTCAGTTCTCTCTCCCCTGTGTCCTCTAATATTTCCTGTTCATTCTTAGGGCCCTCTGCACTTCCTTGTACGTGTACAGAATATACCTTTATGTAATTGAAACAGTGCTTGATCTTGCGCATATCAGCTCCAACATCCAGCATGCTCTCAGGATCAGGATCTTCCAGAAAAGTTTTAATGATCTCATTAAGCCTGAAAGGACATAATAGGCAAAAATAACAAATATAATCTTTGAGGGAACATAAAAAATCTCATAAGAACAGGCAACATTGACTCAAGCTAGGAATGTGTTTCAGAGTTGCCCAGATTACTGCTTTTCCCGGTAGACTCTTGGTTTGGGGTCCATTCTATGAGTCTACTTGAAAACACAAGCAATCAACTTCTTTTTCTGGTGCTAGACTCTGGGCTTAACATGGAGGGATCACAAATGATTCAGATAATGATTTATGTATGCTAATAAATAGTTCTGGGACTAAAATGTTTAAAAGTAATCTTCTGTTTTCCTGATTTCTCTCATAATTTAAATTATCCATAAGCAGTTTCCCCATGCTTTCTCAAAAGACATAATTCTAAGACTAGTGCTTTGGATGCTTTGTGCCCGTATTTTTGCTAGCAAGTATATGACACTTAATAATTTAGATTGCAATTATAAAATTCTCAGCCCCCACCATCATGTATGGCAACGTCATTTTTTGGATCTCAGCTTCTCTATATACCCCAAAGACCCATTATTCCTCTTCCTATTACTGAAATGTATTAAACATTTTATTCATTTATTGATAGGGGGCTGAGCCTGCAGTCTTTAGGCAAGAAAAATACTCATTGAAGTCACTGTGTATGTTGCCTACATTAGGACTGCAGGACTAGGCCCATTAAAAAAATCATCTGAGATACAGAAACACTCCATTGCTCTTTTAGAGACAAATTATGAGCTATGGCAGGAAAACCAGCATATGGACAATGAAACTCTGTGAGTTACAATTCTTGGAATTTCTATAATAACCATGCATCAGCAGATGAGCTTTACACACACCTCTCCCCCCCACCCACCCACACTCCTATAGATCAGGCAACGCCTGAGACCCATATTTCTGTGTGTATCCCAAGGTAGACAGGATTTTTGTGTGGAATCTTCAGAAGATTGAAGAGCACGAGGATCTCAGCATGGACACCCGGTGATTCTGCCTGGACTACTGACCTAGAATCTCTCTCTCCATACAGGAGCACAGCTTTAGAGCAGCCATGATTTCCTACTGGTGGCTGATCGAGAGCCCCCTCTGAGTAAAGGGGGTTCACAACACATGCAGGAACAGATTCAGCATTAGCTTCAGCAGTAAATGCCTGAATGTTTGCAGGGTGTGGGGCGGGTGTGGAAATTGAGGAAGATACCACAGACAGTTACTGTCACCTAGGTCCACCTCTTCCTGACTCCTCAAAAGTAGCAAAGCCTCAACCCTGTGGAGTGGGAGCAGTAGGGTTTTTATGGGGTCTGCAGAAAGAGGGCAACATGCTCTAAAGCCACTGCTCCCAAAACACTTCTGTAAGCCTGGTCAGTTTCAGATAGGTTTTTCTTTCCTGTTTCCATTATCAGAGGAGAATATATGGGCAGAATATTTAGTGTATATCATTCATTATATACATGGTCACTGACACCAAATGCTTGGCAAATGGACCTCTACAAATGCAGGAAGAGTTCTCTTGTTAGCTTAATTCTCAACCTGAATCAAATTACCAATAACCAACAGAGCCTCAAAAAATGCAGGAAAGAGCTACTTTCTCTTCTAAATTCATGTATGTCTGAAATTTTTCTAATTCCTCTGCTCATCCATAAAATTAAGCAACCATGTTAATGGAATTAGAGTTTGTGCCCTGAAAAAGAACAGTTTATTGCTAACAAATACATGCTGAGACACAGTAAGGCACACTCTTAGATCCCATTAAACCAAAATGTTGGCAGGATCCTGAAAGTTCACAGAACACCCACTGAAGTCAGGGTGAATTGTATGTGCAAAGAGCTTAAAGGATTGGGCCATTTAAAAAGTCTATTTAAATTAGTTAGAAAAAAAGTGTCCCTGGAATTACAGGTATTTGTTTCTCAAGATGAAGCAGAGCAGAGAAGAGATTATTGGGTAATAAAGACCAGAATATCAGTTTTTATTATTGCTACATTTATCAGTCTTGTTGAATAAGCATCCAAGCCCTCAAGTGTGAACCTTGCTGGTAATTTCAGCAGATAGGCCAAGGAATAAACGGGCATGGGAACTATCCCCTCACACCTACAAGTGGCCTCTGTGTGTCATGACTGGGAAATGTGGAGAAGTCTGTACTGCCACGGCCAGTGCTATAGCTAGTCTACGGATAAACAGAGGCATTCAGCATCTAGCACTAAGTCTGGCACTATACTGAGCATTACATTAACCACATTTAATAAGAGAAAAATTCTAAAACTATTTTCTCCTCATTTTAAGCACCAGGGTCAGATCCTCCATGTGAGGTCATTTAACGCTACTACAACATGGCAGTAACCTTGAACTGTAAACAAAAGAATAGGCATTTCAGCTATATCCTGATTGCCTCAGTTGGCAGAGACTTAGGTTATGGGAATCAATCCAAAAACATCTGTCAGCTAGAAGCTTGCAACAAGACTATTGTCAAGTTAACATTGCAGGGAGTTACTAAGAATATTTTAGGAGAAAAGAGAACAGTAAGGTAAGGAAGAAGAGAGAACATGAATTTGTCCCAAGAGACTGTTGGCTGTCTAATTTAGTTTCCTATTTACAAATTAGGTGAGTAGTAAATATGAATGTGAGCTGGTATTTTCTCCCTCCTTCATTACCTGTCACCCACTTGAGATTTCCAGCATTTTGAAAACCGCAACTGCCCAATTCATTTTTTGTGGCTTGAAGACCACACATTGACTAGAGCCAAAGTGGATTTTAGTGCCAGATGGACTGATTTGCTGTAGCAGAACCTAGATTAGAAGTGGTTAACCAACTAAGCCTTTTTGCCACTTCTAAAGAACAGTACTTCTTCAGTGTGTTTTAATATAGACCTTTATGCCAAAGAGGAAGAATTTCCTGAACCAAAAATGAAAGGGAATTTTTGGCCAAGAGGGAAAAAGAATGGAAAAGGCCCTCAAAACTCACAAGTAAGCACAAGAACTAAAACAAACTTTCAGATATATATTCTGACTATTAAAGACAAACAACATCATGAATATTAATTTCTGTGCACACAGCACAGACACCTTTTAACAGGAGAGAATTAAAGGACCAATCTTCTTAGGTAAGCATATAGCCTGATGACAAAAAGGATTGAAATCAGAACATTCTGGGAGTTCTGCCAGTGGATTAAATTATTAAACAAAGGTAAAAATAAATTGATGATGCGATGCAGATACAGTCTGAGATTTCTCTTCCTGCTGAACATATCTTAAGTCCACTGAGCTAAACTTTCAGAAGGATTTATCAATGAAGGGATCACAAAAATAATTTAAACATTCTAATACTAGTTATATAATGCCATGATTTAAGGCTTTACAGAGGAGACAACAAAGCTATTCCTTCCCCCCAAGGCGCTCACAGTTTAAATGAGAAAGATAACACAAATAATGACAACAGAGCACAGGACAACAGGAGGGAGGAGAAGAGACAAGAGTAAATAAGGAGAGAGAGTGGGATACTGACCTTAAACCAATAAACTTTTGTACAGTAAATTTTTTTTAAAAAAAAGATATACATGTATGTGTTTAAATTGTCAGGTAAGAGCTGGAAGGTAACTCTTGTCAAGGTAATCCCCAAAAAGAGGGGTCAGAAGCAGTGGATAAGTTATGGCACAACAGCTCCAGCTTTATTTAATAAACATTAAAAATGTAAATAAATGAATGAAGGGAATGAATATGGTTTTTGCAACAAAGAGTGGCGGTAGCTGCTCAATACAACCATGAGCCACCACTTGTCTGGCCACCTAGTCAAAGATACTCTCTTGCCCATCCTATACCTGGATATGTCTCTGCTGGAGCATCTCTCGGCTCCAGCTACACACTGAAGTCTACAATTCTAGGAGATATATACCCTCCCTATGGCCTAGCCCCAACAGCTAAATAATTTTATCCTCCTCCAAAGAGAGTCTGTCCGCAAAGCCATGATGCAACATGGAACTTGTGAACATGATTCTGGCTTGACCCAAGCAGAAATGAAAATGCAACATTTAGTTAACATAACATACAAGTGACAGTTACATACCCATATGGTATCTCAATGCAAAACACCACTTACTCCCCTAGCACAGAGGTAGATGGGTGGGAGGGGAAACCTTGCTGCAGTAGGAGAGCCGGAATTGCTTTTTGGTCCTGCAAAGCTCATTCTTGACGGGGGCTGGTACTAGCTGTCCTCTGGTCATAAAGAAGGCTCCTTAGGGCTAGAAGAGTGGCCAAAGGCAGACAGCAAGGAAGGATGGTCCAGTGGCTAGTGTGCTAGCCTGAGAATTAGCTACAGACTTTGTGTGACCTTGAGCAAGTCACTTAATCGCTGTGCCGCAGTTGCCCAGGGCTAAAATGGGCATAATAGCACTGTACTAGTTCACAGGGTTGTGAAGGATAACTACATTAAAAGATTTGGAGGCCCTCAGATGTTATGGTAATGGAGGCCCTATGAGTATGACAGACAGATAGATAAAATGGCCCAGCCCAACACAAAGTTGGGCCATGGTGCATCAGGAGGGAAAGGATCCCCTAGCATCCAAGCAGGAAAACCCCCAGCAAATCCAGCCTAGCTGGCCACTGCCACATAAGGTAGGTGACTGAGCTGAATTAGCACAGAAAGCAAAAGGAAAGTCACCCCTGTCCCTTTTTTCAGGGCAAAGTTGATCTCAGTCAGTTAATTATAGTTAATAAAACATCAGAATATAAAAGAGAACAAAGTTTCTCAGCTCAGGGTTTCTAATTCAGCCCCGGGCTCAGAGACCAGCCTTCTCCCAGGCAGTCTCTGTCCTCTTGTTCCTGGAGCAGCTAACTTTTACAGCCCCTCTGCCGAGCACCTGGGTTAGCCTAATTTTTATTAACTTCTTATTCGCTCAGGTCAGGGTAGTGTCTGCAAGCTGCCCCAGACAACAGAAAGTGTCAGAATAAGGATTAGTGGTGAAAAGCTAGACAAAGGAAGAGAGCTTTGAGAATATATTTGAAGGCAGAGTGA